AGTCAGCGTTCTGATATTTAGATGGCCTTTCTCTTACCAGTTATGCTGTGATGTATAATCTTGCTACATGTTATTTTGTACACACACACACACACACACACACACACACACACACCCCTCTCTTTAGGTTAGATCTGAGAAGGATCACTGTAATTTTGGTAGATATGATCAATTTGCTTGCCAGTGTATGTTCCCACTTGAAAAAATATGTCAGAGTGCCTGTCTTCTCCCACATTCTCACTAAAAGGATGTGTTATCAGAATTTTTATTCTTGCCAATCTGATAAAGAGAAAAGGTATTTCATAAAATTTTAGTTTTCACTTCCCTTATGAGTGAAGTTGTGTGGCTTTTCATGTTTAAGACATACTTGTTATACAGTAGGGCGACTATTGCAAATAACAATGTAATAAGTATTTCAAGATAGCTAGAAGAGAAGATTTTGAATGTTGCCAATCCAAAGAAATAAATATTTCAAATCATGGATATGGTAATTACCCCACTTGATTATTATACTATGTATATACATGCATTGAAATATCACATTGTACACCATAAATATGTACAATATTATGTGTTAATTAGAAATATAAAATTAAATTTTTTAAGACAGGTTCTTGAATTTTTCTGTCAATTTTGTGTTCAAACTTTTCACCCAGTTCTCTTGAGTTGTCGATCTTTTTCTTATTGATTTGTAGAAGTCCTTTATAAGTAGGGAAGTTAGGTTTCTATCTTGAATATGAATTGTTTTTTTGACCCTAGTTTTTCATTTGTATTTTGACTTTGTCGGTTTTTGATGAGAAATTTAAAATGTTCATGAAGTTAATTTTATTGGGCCTTTTTTGAAATGTTTATAGCTTTCAGATTTTGTATTATAGTTAGCAATATCTTTCCCTCTCAAAGGTTATAAAAAGATTATTTGATATTTCCTCTGAATACTGTTAAAGCCAAGCTTTTAAAATGTTTTTTTCTTTTAAAAATTTAACATAATCCTTTTTCTACATCTGTGTGGTTCTCCCTACAGATATCTCTAAGAGTAGCTCAGCGGTGTTATTTAGAAGTTTCCTGACTATCTTGACATGTAAACTCATCTAATCCTGGAACTTATATTAAACTAGGAAATTTCTGACACGTTCCTTACTCAGTAGAGAATTTCATTCTGATTTACTTATATTTACTCATCTTTTTTTTTTTCAGAGCAAAGCTCATTCTTTTTGATGTAATGTATGCAGAAGGAAAATAGAAAATAAGTTCTCCATTCTCTGTCTCATTTCTACTTTCTGTTCAAAAATTATTTTTTATTTTTGAGTATTTGAGAGCATGTGTTCATATTTCATGTTTTAGGTCTCTAAAAGAAGAGGGTGACCCTTGATCACAGCCAGACTTATTTCCAATTTACTTAGCTTTTTCAAGAAATATTTAATAAGTAACTACTACATACTTAGCCCTTTTCTAAAAAGATAATAACAAAATTTATGTATGATAATGCCCTTGTGTTTTAGAAAGACCAGGTTTCTCCACATAATATGATTATTATAGAGAATAATATTTGTCACTTTAGATATAGCCCATAACGTCTGTTTGCAAACATGGTTGGATTGTGTTTGAGTGAAATACCTAGAAGTTCTAAAAGAACATTTTCTTCTCTGAAGTTCATTTTTCAAAGGTGCAGTGGTTAATAAAATTCTCAGAACTGGATCTATAAGAAGGCTAGGCCATATATGTACCAGCTGCAAATATTCAATGCCAGTCATAGAATGTTCTTCCAACCACTTGTGGCAAGTAAAATATATTTTTACTGAATTATGCTAGTGTTCCAATAATGTTCTTTAAAAAAAAAAAAAAGGAAACAAGATGTATTTATTTAAACAGCATATGACTCACTTGCTGCTCTGGTTTCTCTCTCTCTCTCTCTCTCTCTCTCTCTCTCTCTGTGTGTGTGTGTGTGTGTGTGTGTGTTTGTCTTTTTTAGTTTGATAAATTCAAGTTGGTACTTGCCTCTTGGAAGCTAATTAAAAATAATTCTGACCTTAAAGTGAATTAGAGGTTTCAAGTTTTTGACAGTATCTCATAGCTTAAAAAGCTGTATATTAATAAACGTGGATCGGCATTTGCTTTCTTAGAAAAAGTAAAATTGATCCTGGTTGAACCCAAGTATGTTGCTTTTCCATGTTAATATATTTATAGCTGCAGTTTATAAAAAAAAACTTTTTTTCCTCCCTCTAATTTCTGTATTTTTTAGTGAGAGTCTCTCCTTCCGTAGAACCAGACTGTGAGGCTGATATGGCAAAATCTTCAGATACTTTGGGGTTCTTTTTCTAACATGATTCTGCCCTCTCACATGACTCCCCCCAACTCCCTCTCTCTTTGTTGCCATTAGTCTTTCCACATTCCTACTTTCCTCACCCAATTTGGGGGCGTTAGGTTAATACACATACTAAGGAATGGAGATATATTAGAGTTTTCAAGTTGATCGTTGCTGTTCTTTTGCTTGTCCCAAAGTCCTGAATTAAACCAAGGACTGCTGATGTCTAAAGTACTGATGCTGATCATATAACATTTTCCTGAAGAAATAAATGGACTTCTTACCTCTTGGAGCAAAGGAGTGAAAGTCTTAAGGGACAAGTGGTATTCTGAACCACAGAAGTATAAAATAACTGTGAGGATGATATGGTGTAATGGAATTAACACATCTAGACTGGAAGAGACATGATAATAAGCAACAACTAAATTAAGATGTATGTCATACATTTAAGTTAATGAGACTAATGCATCATTTATTGGATTGAATAATTAACTGCAAGTTAATGTTAGAGTGACTCTCTATATAAAGATGAAGTAAAATAAGCTTTAGTACATAGCAGTTCAAGTCTTGGTATTAGTACCTGACTCTGCTGTTCGTTCATCAGTAATGTGAACTCAAGCAAATCACTTCACCTTTTTTTCATTGCTTTCTCCATCTGTAGCGTGAGTATAATAGACCTCCCTTTCCTGAATACACACACGTGCACACACACGTGAATATAGTATCCAACACACAAAAAAAGCTTTTTGATAGATGTTAAGCTTCTTTCCTTCCTTTTTTTTTTTTTTTCTTTGAAGCTTTCTTCTTATACTAACATAAGAGTATTGGAGTATCACAAGGTTAAAGGTACTAAATCAGGTAGTGGTTGTTTATGCCAGCAAATATTTCTGTCAGAACAATTGGCAATTCTAGCTTATTTCATAAGAGTTAACTAATTTTGTAGATTATTTTCTGTATGTTTTTTTCTAGTTGTGATAATCTTTTTATGATAAATATTGAGTATCTTTGTCTTCCCATCCTCAGCTGGCTTGTATGTTCAGAAAATTACAAATTTACCCATTTTCATTTCTTGTGGCATTTTCTTTTTTTTTTTTGAGACGGAGTTTTGCTCTTGTTACCCAGGCTGGAGTGCAATGATGTGATCTCAGCTCACCGCAACCTCCGCCTCCTGGGTTCAGGCAATTCTCCTGCCTCAGCCTCCTAAGTAGCTGGGATTACAGGCACGCACCACCATGCCCAGCTAATTTTTTTGTATTTTTTCAGTAGAGACGGGGTTTCACCATGTTGACCAGGATGGTCTCGATCTCTTGACCTCATGATCCACCTGCCTCGGCCTCCCAAAGTGCTGGGATTACAGGCGTGAGCCACCGCACCCAGCCCAGCATTTTCTAGTCTATTTTTTTAAATCTAAATCTTATAAAACTTTCCTCTATTTAAATTACATTTGGTCTTTTGATATTTTTCTTTTTGTTTAGTAAGAGTTTTTTCTTTTTTCTCAGTATTTCATATGACTTTTAGAATTTCTTCTTTTAAGGTCTTTCTTTAAAATCTTGATTAATATGTAGCTCTCCTTTCCACTTAAGAACTTATTTTACTCTTAAAAATTACCTAGAAAAAATAGATTTAAACAAGAAAAATTGTCTTTTAAAAATTAGAATGTTTTATTTGAACTCTGAAGGGTCCACTCCAAATGGTAGAAATAACATCTAAAGTATTATAGTTTAGGTATCTGAAAAGGTTTAGTTGATACGGTTACCACTTGAAATGTGGATTTTTCTTTAGCAATTCTTGAAATGAATCTTAAAATATAAGATTTGCCATCTTACATGATGTTATTTATGAATTAAATCTTAATAATTATACTTTTCCTGTCTTCAAAATTATGTAGCAACCATTTATCACAAAAGCAAGGAATGGTTAAAAGATGGATCCTGCTTAGTGTTTATTCTCAGTTTAAACTTAAAACTTTGCTTTACTCCTAACATGAAAGGATGATTAGAACTACTTACTTTCTGCGACAGTATGGTTCATGGTTCATTTTCTATGGAAAATATTGTGAGATTAAGAAAAAAGCAACTTTAGTTATAAATGACAGGAGAGGATATTTCTGTAATTAAATTATATGGTATTTCAAAAATCCAGTTTAAGGGCCACCTGCTCTAAATTGACATTTCTTTTCTGCTGGTTTTCAAAATTGGCAGATAGGAGCTTCAGGATTCTGGTGTTTCCAAAATTATATTTACCATTTAAAAAATATTAACATATATAATGATTACATTCCTATTTCTTGTTTTTATTATGCTTAATCATTTATTTTAATGAATTGTAACAATAGCATCTAGAGTTTGAGCCTTGACTCTAGGAAGTCATTAGGAAATTCTCCTGGTGGTAAGGGACTGTAATAGGTTTTATAAATAATCAGCTGGCCTCTCCAGTTTTTTTGTGATTTAGCCATGAAAGTGAGTTTTTCATGACTTTCAAGATAGAACTAGAGGCCCAGATTTATTATATTGCATTATATACTTACTGTTAAATCTGTATATTGCCTCTGATTGAAATACTAAATTTGGTTTACATGAATTAAACCTCCAAGTAATATATTTTAAAACTTTATGAAAAAGAAAGAAATCAAGAAATAAGCCATTGTCTGGTGCAAAACAAGTAAGTATTATTACTTTATACACTGTTATCTTTTCAGGCTCATGAGAGGCTAGAAGATTCCAAACTAGAAGCCGTCAGTGACAATAATTTGGAATTAGTCAATGAAATTCTTGAAGACATCACTCCTCTAATAAATGTGGATAAAAATGTGGCAGAATTGGTTGGTATACTCAAAGAGCCTCACTTCCAGGTAACTTTTCCTATCACTCCATTCCCAAGTTCCCTATATGCCCAAAGTATTTCCCTTTAACATTTAAGTTCCAGTTTAAGGTGATGTTTTCTTCAAATATCGTTTAGGGCTATAATTGGTAAATATGTAAATTCCAACCTGGGTGTCTTAATGTCCTGATATGCTGAGAATACATCAACAGATATATGTAACTATAATACTTCAAAAATGTACACTGTCACAGAAATACATCACAGTGGATTTTGCTTTGTGCCACTAAAGAAAACAACCTTAATTCACCATCAGATCAAATGCTGCAGCCACTTTCCTCACTATGATAATGGATTTTTTTCTTCCTCACTACCATTCTGTTTCTTAGTCAATACTTTTTAGTATTGCTTCTCAAGATTGTTGTGCAGTCAGTGACCACGGAACATAAGAGAGCTGTGAATATACAGAAACTGTTATATAACATAATCTCCACAGGTACTAAGTATCATTTTAGCAATGGTATGTATCAGTGAAGAGTTCATCTGTTTTAGGAAGAAGAATGCGTTTCAGAAGAGAAAAGGCAGGAAAGATTTCTTGTAAACTTATTATAATTAAGACAATGTGATATTGGGGAAAGTGTTAGAAAAATTAACTCATTTTAAAGAATAGAAACCCCCCATAAGTACATCCAGCCAGAAATGGCAACTTGATTTATGACTGGGACATTGCATTTTAGTAGAAAAAGAATGGTGCTGAGATAGAATAAAATAAGTGTCACCTGCTTTTCCCTGCAAATCTTAGCACTGGAAATCAAATGATAACAGCCTTTTGCTCTTTTTCAGCCAAAGACTTTATGTGACTCTTCAACAATGTTACTGCAAAATATGAAGGTTTTTTTTTTAGCAAGAAATAAAATTCTATTGCTTTCTTTATTGCATTTTAGATTTTGGGGTACATGTGAAGAACATGCAAGATTGTTGCATAGGTACACACATGGCAGTGTGATTTGCTACCTTCCTCCCCTTCACCTATATCTGGCATTTCTCCCCATGCTATCTATCCCCAACTCCCCACCCCCCGGCTGTCCCTCCCCTGTTTCCCCCTGACAGACCCCAGTATGTGATGCTTCCCTCCCTGTGTCCATGTGTTCTCATTGTTCAACACCCACCTATGAGTGAGAACATGTGGTGTTTGATTTTCTGTTCTTGCGCCAGTTTGCTGAGAATGACGGTTTCCAGGTTTATCCATGTCCCTACAAAGGATGCAAACTCATCGTTTTTGATGGCTGCATAATATTCCATGGTATATATGTGCCACATTTTCCCTGTCCAGTCTGTCATCGATGGGCATTTGGGTTGGTTCCAGGTCTTTGCTATTGTAAACAGTGCTGCAGTGAACATTCGCATGCATATGTCCTTATAGTAGAACTATTTATAATCCTCTGGCCATATACCCAGTAATGGGATTGCTGGGTCAAATGGAATTTCTATTTCTAGGTCCTTGAGGAATCGCCACACTGTCTTCCACAATGGGTGAACTAATTTACACTCCCATCAACGGTGTAAAAGTGTTCCTATTTCTCCACATCCTCTCCAGCATCTGTTGTCTCCAGATTTTTAAATGATCGCCATGCTAACTGGCATGAGATGGTATCTCAATGTAGTTTTGATTTGCATTTCTCTAATGACCAGTGATGATGAGCATTTTTTCATATGTTTGTTGGCCTCATGTATGTCTTCTTCTGTAAAGTGTCTGTTCGTATCCTTTGCGTACTTTTGAATGGCTTGTTTTTTTCTTGTAAATCTGTTTTAGTTCTTTGTAGATTCTGGATATCAGCCCTTTGTCAAATGGGTAAATTGCAGAAATTTTTTCCCATTCTGTTGGTTGCCGATTCACTCTAATGACTGTTTCTTTTGCCGTGCAGAAGCTGTGGAATTTGATTAGGTCCCATTTGTGTATTTTGGCTTGTGTTGCCAATGCTTTTGGTGTTTTAGTCATGAAGTCCTTGCCTACGCCTATGTTCTGATGGTTTTGCCTAGGTTTTCTTCTAGGGTTTTTATGGTGTTAGGTCTTATGTTTACGTCTTTAATCCATCTGGAGTTAATTTTAGTGTAAGGTGTCAGGAAGGGGTCCAGTTCTGCTTTCTGCACATGGCTAGCCAGTTTTCCCAACACCATTTATTGAACAGGGACTCCTTTCCCCATTGCTTATTTTTGTCAGGTTTGTCAAAGATCATCAGATGATGGTAGATGTGTCGCATTGCCTCCAAGGCCTCTGTTCTGTTCCTTTGGTCTATATCTCTGTTTTGGTACCAGTATCGTGCTGTGTTGATTACTGTAGCCTGGTAATATAGTTTGAAGTCAGGTAGTATGATGCCTCCAGCTTTGTTCTTTTTGCCTAGGATTGCCTTGGCTATGAGGCTCTCTTTTGGTTCCATATAAAATTTAAGATTTTTTTTTTTTTCAGTTCTGTGAAGAAGGCCATTGGTAGCTTGATGGGGATAGCGTTGAATCTGTAAATTACTTTGGGCAGTAAGGCCACTTTCACAATATTAATTCTTTCTAACCATGAGCATGGAATGTTTCTCCATCTATTTGTGTCCTCTCTTATTTTGTTGAGCAGTGGTTTGTAGTTCTCCTTGAAGAGGTCCTTTACATCATTTGTTGTTTTCCTAGCTATTTTATTCTCTTTATAGCAATTGTGAATGGCAGTTCGTCCTTGATTTGGCACTCTTTAAGTCTGTTATTGGTGTATAGGAATGCTTGTGATTCTTTTCACATGGATTTTGTATCCTGAGACTTTGCTGAAGTTTCAGGAGATTTTGGGCTGAGACGATGGGATCTCCTAGATATACAATCATGTTGTCTGCAAATAGAGAAAATTTGACTTCCTCCTTTCCTATTTGAATACCCTTTATTTCTTTTTCTTGCCTGATTGCTCTGGCTAGAACTTCCAATACTATATTGAATAGGAGTGGTGAGAGAGGGCATCCTTGTCTAGTGCCAGATTTCAAAGGGAATGCTTCCAATTTTTGCCCATTCAGTATGATATTGGCTGTTGGTTTGTCATAAATAGCTTTTATTATTTTGAGATACGTTCTGTCAATACCTAATTTATTGAGGGTTTTTAGCATAAAGGGCTGTTAAATTTTGTCAAAGGACTTCTCTGCATCAATTGAGATAATCATGTGGTTTTTGTCTTTGGTTCTGTTTATGTGGTGAATTACGTTTATAGACTTGCGCATGTTGAACCAGCCTTGCATCCCTGGGATGAAGCCTACTTGATCATGGTGGTTAAGCTTTTTGACGTGCTGTTGCAATCGGTTTACCAGTCAGTATTTTATTGGAGATTTTTGCATCTATGTTCATCATGGATATTAGCCTGAAGTTTTCTTTTCTTGCTGAGTCTCTGTCAGGTTTTGGTATCAGGATGATGCTGGTCTCATAAAATGATTTGTGAAGGATTTCCTCTTTTTGGATTGTTTGGAATAGTTTCAGAAGGAATAGTACCAGCTCCTCTTTGTATATTTGGTAGAATTCGTCTGTGAATCCATATGGACCTGGGCTTTTTTGGGTGGTAGGCTCTTAATTGCTGCCTCAACTTCAGACCTTGTTATTGGTCTATTTAGGGTTTTGACTTCTTCCTGGTTTAGGCTTGCGAGGATGCAAGTGTTCAGGAATTTATCCATTTCTTCCAAGTTTACTAGTTTATGTGCAAAGAGTTGTTTGTAATCATCTCTGATGATGGTTTGTATTTCTGTGGAATCTGTGGTGATATCCCCTTTATCATTTTTTATTGCATCTATTTGACTATTCTCTCTTTTCATTTTTATTAATCTTGCTAGTGGTCTATTTTGTTGATCTTTTCAAAACACCAGCTCCTGGATTTATTGATATTTTGAAGGGTTTTTTTGTGTCTCTATCTCCTTCAGTTCTGATCTGATCTTAGTTATTTCTTGTCTTCTGCTAGGTTTTGAGATTTTTTGATCTTGCTCCTCTAGCTCTTTCAATTTTGACAATAGGGTGTTGATTTTAGATCTTTCCTTGTTTCTCATGTGGGCATTTATTGCTATATATTTTCCTCTAGACACTGCTTTAAATGTGTCCCAGAGATTCTGGTATGTTGTGTGTTGATTCTCATTGGTTTTGAAGAACATCTATTTCTGCCTTCATTTCATTGTTTATCCAGTCAACATTCAAGAGCCAGTTGTTCGGTTTCCATGAAGCTATGTGGTCCTGAGTTAGTTTCTGAGTTCTAAGTTCTAACTTGATTGCACTGTGGTCTGAGAGACTGTTTGTTATGATTTCCATTCTTTTGCATTTGCTGAGGAGTGATTTACTTCCAATTAATGTGGTCACTTTTAGAGTAGGTATGATGTGATGCTGAGAAGAATGTATATTCTGTGGATTTGGGGTGGAGAGTTCTGTAAATGTCTATCAGGTTTGCTTGTTAGAGGTCTGAGTTCAAGTCCTGGATATCCTTGTTAATTTTCTGTCTGGTTGATCTAATATTGACAATGGAGTGTTAAAGTCAATGTTATTGTGTGGGAGTCTAAGTCTCTTTGTAAGTCATTAAGAACTTGCTTTATGTGTCTGGGTGCTCCTGCATTGGGTGCATATATATTTAGGATCGTTAGGTCTTCTTGTTGCATTGTTCCTTTTACCATTATGTAATGTCCTTCTTTGTCTCTTTTGAGACAAATTTGGTTTAAAGTCTATTTTATCAGAGACGAGAATTGCAACTCCTGGTTTTTATTGTTCTTCGTTTGCTTAGTAAATCTTCCTCTATCCCTTTATTTTCAGCCTTTGTGTATCCTTGCATGTGAGATAGGTTTTTTGGATACAGCACACTGATGGGTTTTGCCTTTTTATCCAATTTGCCAGTCTGTGTCTTTTGATTGGTGCATTTAGCCCATTTACATTTAGGGTTAATATTGTTATGTGTGAATTTGATACTGCCATTTGGATGCTAGCTGGCTGTTTTGCCCAATAGTTGATGCAGTTTCTTCATTGTGTTGATGCTTTTTACCATTTGGTATGTTTTTGGAGTGGCTGGTACTGGTTGTTCCTTTCTATGTGTAGTGCCTCTTTCAGGAGCTCTTGTAAAGCAGGCCTGGTGGTGACAAAATCTCTGAGTACTTGCTTGCTTGTAAAGGATTTTATTTTTCCTTCACTTATGAAGCTTAGTGTGGCTGGATATGAAATTCTGGGTTGAAAGTTCTTTGTGTTAAGGATGTTGAATATTGGCCCCCACTCTCTTTTGGCTTGTAGGGTTTCTGCTGAGAGATCTGCTGTGAGTCTGATGGGCTTCCCTTTGTGGGTAACCTGACCTTTCTTTCAGGCTGCCCTTAGCATTTGCCCAGCTGATCTTGAACTTCTGAGCTCAGGCAGTCCACCTGCCTCAGCCTCCAAAAGTGCTGGGATTACAGGCGTGAGCCACCATGCCTGGCTTGTTGAGGATTTTTGCATTAATGTTTGTCAAGGATATTGGTCTGAAGTTTTCTTTGTGTGTGTGTGTGTCTGCCAAGTTTTGATATAAAGATGAGGCTGACCTCATAGAATTAGTTGGTGAGAAGTCTCTCTTCCTCAGTTTTTTGGAATAGCTTTTCTATAAGAATGGTACCAGCTCTTATTTGTACATCTGGTAGAATTCAGCTGTGAATCCATCAGGTCCCAGGTTTTTTGGTTGGTAGGCTATTACTGATTCAATTTCAGAGGTTGTTATTGGTGTGTTCAGGGAATCATTTTATTCCTGGCTCTGTCTTGGGAGGTTGTATATGTCTAGGAATTTATCTCTGTCTCTTCTAGGTTTTCTGGTTTGTGTGCATGGAAGTGTTTGTAGTAGTTTCTGATAGTTGTTTTTATTTCTGTAGGGTCAATAGTAACATGCCTTTCATCATTTCTAATTGTGTTTATTTGGCTCTCCTCTCTTTTCTTCTTTATTAGTCTAGCTAGTTGCCTATTTTATTAATTTTTTCAAAAAACCAACTCCTGGATTCATTGATTTTTTTTTTTTTTTTTTTTTTTTTTTGGGACAGAGTCACTGTGTTGCCCAGGCTGGAGTGCAGTGGTGTAATCTTGGCTCACTGCAACCTCCACCTCCCAGGTTCAAGCGATTCTTCTGCCTCAGCCTCCCAAATAGCTGGGACTACAGGTGTGTGCCACGATGCCCAGGTAATTTTTGTATTTTTAGTAGAGACAGGGTTTCACTATGTTGGCCAGGCTGGAACTCCTGACCTCAGGTGATCTACCCACCTCTGCCTCTCAAAGTGGTGGGATTACAGGCGTTAGCCATTGTGCCCAGCCTCATTGATGTTTTTTGAAAGGTTTTTTTGTGCCTCAGTTTTCTCCATTTCAGCTCTGATTTTTGTTATTTCTCATCTTTTTCTAGCTTTTAGGTTGCAAATCATCATTTTCATTAGAGCTTGCAAAATGACGTTTTTCTATTCTATATTATTAGCTAGTATTCTTCCATAATGTTGAGCTTCTCATCAACTGGGCTGCTCAGTTACCCTATAATGCATTTCCTACTAAAGAGGCAGGAATGTACTTCATCGTTTTACTAAGTTTCACAGTGAATAAACTAAATTTGAGTTTCAAGTGGTAACACGTAAGTTTTTTCATTCTATGTTTTTAAATAGCATTGTGGATTTTGTTATTCAATGTTTAAATCCTTTACAATTCTTTTGATTTTCAAATTGCCATGACTTTGACCAGTTATGGGCAAATTTTTTACTATTAAAATCTGAAGTACATGCGAGTTCTGAACTAGAGGCATAAAATTAAGAGTTGTCAGTGTGTAAGTAGTGGCTCAAGTCACAGGAGTAAATAATACTGCCTAAGGAGGATATGGAGTGGAAAACTAAGCAGCCTAGATTAGAGCTTTGAGTAACTTCCAGCATTTATAGGAAGAACCTCTACAGAGGGATTTGTGAGTTGTTTTTATTGAATTTTTTCTCTAGTCTTTCACAAATTGTTTTATGAAATGACCAGAAATGACCCATTATCCTGATTGCTTTTATTCTGAACCTGTTAATATTTGCATCTATTTTGATTTACTGTTTTTGAACTTGCATTCCATCCAGCCCCCCCAAGAATGTTTAACTTATCTTTATGTTGAATATGCACATTTGCAGTAAAAATTACTTTTTTTTTTTTTTTTTTTTTTTTTTGAGACAAAGTTTTACTCTTGTTGCCCTGGATGGCGTGTAGTGGCATGATCTCAGCTCACTGCATCCTCCACCTCCTGGATTCAGGCAGTTCTCCTGCCTCTGCCTCCTGAGTAGCTAGCTGGGTTTACAAGCATGCGCCACCACAGTCAGCTAATATTTTATATTTTTAGTAGAGATGGGCTTTCACCATGTTGGCCAGGCTGGTCTCAAACTCCTGACCTCAAGTGATTCTACCCTCCTCAGCCTCCCAAAGTGCTGGGATTACAGGGGTGAGCCACTGTGCCAGCCTAAAAATGATTCTTTTAGAATAAGAAACAAAAAAATAATATTTTAATATTAAGAAATTCTCAGAAAGCTAGATCAAAACTGTCCATGCTGATAGTACATACATAGTAAATAAAGGAGGTAAAAAATATATTCGGGACTATTACTGACTTGCTTTTTTCCTCAAAAAAAAAAGTTCCTTTTATAAACTAAAACCTTCACTGGTAATATAAATTTTTTGTCACTGATATAAGATGCTAATATTTATCCATTTTCTATTGGACATCTTTTAACAGACATTTTGTATGTATAAAAAGTATATTACTAACAGCAATATTAGGTTAAAAATGTCATTTGAACGTGAATTTTTATGATAATTTAGTAAGTAGGATTGATGGTGAATATTGAATGATATGATGACAGTAGTGGCAATGAAATCCAGTGCTTTCATTGCAACAGACTAGAAACCTAGGTTCAGTTTCCAGTGAACTTGCCAGTTTTTAAAAAGCATCACTAAACTCTGTCGACCTCTGCACATCTCAAAGAATATGATATTGTTTGATGATAATAAAACTATTTTTATATCTCTTAAAAATTATATATTTATTTGATTAACCTGATATTTGGGAATTAATACTATGTGCCTTGGAAATTTGTAGTACCCCATTGGGATAATGAACTAACAAAGTACTTTTAGTGACATATTTCATCAACATATTGTAAATAACCACAGGCTGTTTTGACTTGTTATAGTCACTGTTGGAGGCCCATGATATTGTGGCATCAAAGTGTTATGATTCACCTCCATCAAGCCCAGAAATGAATAATTCTTCTATCAATAATCAGTTATTACCAGTAGATGCCATTCGTATTCTTGGTATTCACAAAAGAGCTGGGGAACCATTGGTGAGTATAGAAAAATCACTGCCCTATTAAATCTGAAATATGATACAATTTGTGCTTCAGTCACTACTCTATTTTGTTGTTGTTTTTCATAGTGTTATAAAAATTGTATTCTTGTTTGGCCTGTGTATATAGACACAGCTGGTGCTCTCTCGACTTGGTTTAACCTGCAAAATTAAGCCAAAATGAAAAGTTAAATTGAGCTAGAAGTAGAAGTATGGCAATGGGTAGCAAAAATTTCAGAAGATGACTACATTTCTTCCTACCCTTTGAAGATATGAACTACTCTTTAAAGAAAAACTGATAGTATCAAAATATAGAAGGATGTTGTTTGAAGCCATACTACAACTCTCTAAGTAGTGGGAAGTTTACAATTTCTTGGTAAAATTATTACTTCTGGATCCTGACTATAAGAACTATAAGCTCCTGAAGTCTGAAGTGGAAAAAAAAAAAAAAAACGAACTAAAAAGAGAACAATGAGTTCCAAAAAGGAAAAGCCAGGAATAAATCCATCAGAATGCACAAATACCTTTTCTTATTCTCTTGAGTTTCCTTTTAGCCTGTAAGATACATCCTATCCACTAGTGTAATAATAACTAGTTAACAGCTTAAAGGGAATAAAATATTGAGACAGGAGAGAACATGGGAAAAGTAAGAATGATTCATTTTACCTAGTTTTAGGATTATTTTCTTACATATATTCATGAATACTTAAGCATTTCTCCCCAATAAATGAGAAACTCTTTCTTATTTCTTGTAGGGTGTGACATTTAGGGTTGAAAATAATGATCTGGTAATCGCCCGAATCCTTCATGGGGGAATGATAGATCGACAAGGTCTGCTTCATGTGGGAGATATAATTAAAGAAGTCAATGGTCATGAGGTTGGAAACAATCCAAAGGAATTACAAGAATTACTGAAAAATATTAGTGGAAGTGTCACCCTAAAAATCTTACCAAGTTATAGAGATACCATTACTCCTCAGCAGGTTAGTAATCAAATTTTTGATAGTATTAAAAATACTTTAATGTTTTTAATGACAGTGTTGGCTATAACTGTCATTTGCTACTATTTCGCTAAAGAAAAGAGAAAAACAATTGATTTGTTCTGAAATGCCTGATTTTGCCATGGGTGAATTTTTGAAGTTTTAAACAGTAGTATTTTACTATTATAAAGGAGGTAGTAAGAAAATTTCTTTGTAAACATCAGGAACCTTGGCATAGCAGAAACCTACAGCTAGGTATCAGATGAACCATAAAGTCTTTTAATTATTAATCTAGCACACATTTCTGACAGCTATTATGTTCAGGCATTGTATTAGGCCCTGGGAGAGGATAAAAATCTAGTCCAGATCACCTCTAGCTTAGTGTTTGTGATGAGTGAAACGACTGATCAGGCCAGAAAAGAGGATGAGTTTAAAGAAAATCTTGGGCCCCTGGTTTGCACACATTTGGTCTGTATTTTAAAACTAATTTTAGGTAAAATAAGTAATTGAACAGGAAAATGTTTTAGTGATAGAGATTGTCTGGCCTTGGTATGTTAAGTGAATTCAAAAGAAGAGAAATGAGATTATGTAACCAGCTGGCAGATTTTTAAGGTGTGAGGTGATTTGTGAACAACAGCGCTAATGAATGGTTAAGATGACCACTTAGGTTCAAATACCAGTGCTGCCAGTTATCAGCTTACTTTGTGTGTGCTTCATTTTTCTCATCTATATAGTTTGGGATAAAATTTCTTTTCTCAAAAGGTTGTTAAGAGGATTAAATGAGTTAATTCATGTAATGCTCTCACAGCAACACCTGCCACATAGTGAGTGCTCAAGAAGTGGCTGTATTTCTGTGGTAATGAGGCAGTGGTGGTAACATGGAACTGTAAAGGAATAAAGAGTAAAAAAGTAATTGCAGAGGAAGAATTGAAAATTATGATAGGAGTGTTGGAACCAAAGAGAGGGTTTTCAAGCCTAAATAATGTAGAAGTAGATACCTCTGATGTTCAGGTTTATTCCAGAAATGTATTGCTTGATGTATGAATGAAATTATAAGTTTTCTTACATAAAATACTGCCAGTGTATCTTATTTCATATTGTTAAAATGAGAGTTTTAAAGTCTAGTTTTTACCTTTCCATACAGTTATTTGAAATAATGTTTCATTGAATGCCTATTTTAAACTGTTTCTTTCAAAGGTAAGGATAGATTATTTAGTCATGAATATTAGCATGTAAATTGAACTTCTGAAAATAGATAGGCTTATAATTAACTTTGGTTGAAATAAAGGTAGCTTGGTGGTTCTTAAGGAGAAGAATTGTGAAAAATAAATGATATTAGTACTTAGACATTTCATATTACTAGTACCTCTCAAGCTACCTTTCTTCCTTAGTTGGCACATTTCTGTTTGTGACAGCCTGAGGCCTTGTCTTGTACCTGCATAGACTGGAAGAGTAAAATCAAAGATTTACATATTTTATTTATTATGTGTTAGTTGTAGTAGGAAGATTTTCTTTTTCTTCTGTGGTCCAAATTCCAGAATTCCTCTAGTTCACCATGGCTGTAATAGACGTAGAGGCAAAATAAAACTTTGTAGTATTAATAACTAGAGCTTTGGCCCAAATTCCTACATAGATTTTGCATCTGGTGAACTAACTGAATACCATGAAATGCAAGGATATTTAGCCTTGGTTTAAACATAGGTTTTCCTTATTCTTTACCCTCTCAAACTCTGCTTTTCACTTAGCATTTAGAGCTGGGGGAAGGAATTAAAGTAGGAGAGGAGGAGTCATACAAGCCTGGGGCAGTCTCAGACCTGTCCTTCCATAAAGAAGAAAAGGAACTATAACATGAAGGCTTTGAAAAGAACATCCAGATTGAGCCTTTTTTTTTTTAATGAAAAGAGGAATATTACTCATATGCTGGAGTGATAGGCATAAACCAGGGCATCTACAAACCATGGGCATCCTACTAAGATGCTTTAGGGAAGCAAGGGCATTTTACCTCTTCGGCTGTCACTAAAAGCTCCACCATGTAGTGCTGTGGAGCCTGTCACAGCTCTGGATTGCTGCAAGAGCAAATGCAAGCCAAGAACTCTTCCCTGTCATGGTAATGTTTTTCAAAAGCATAGTCAGTATATTATCTTTATCAGAATCATTTGAGGTGCTTGCTAAAATTCCAGAATCTCCTATGGAACATAAGTATCTATGTTTTATATTTTGAGGACCAGAGTGAGTGAGAAGTAACCAATTCTGAAGTTCTTCAATTTATACATAGCTTATACTCCCAGAGGCTATTCATAATTCTTTTTGTTTAAGGCCAACTGATGGAATTATCTCTTATTCTTTAGGACCAGCATGACATGGACAACAGTCCTGTAATATATTTTTTATATGTAAGAAAATATACATTAAAAATTCTCAACAAAATAATGGCAAATCGGATTTGATTGTGTATATAACAAAGATAAGACAACATATCCAAGTTGGATTTATTATCCCAGATATGCTAGGAGAGTTTCATGTTAGAAAATCCATATGTAACTAAGCGTGCTAACAGATGAAAAGAGAATAACCTCAATGGAGAATCTGATAAAATTCGAAGTATTTACGTGATAAAATACTAATCATTTAAAAAATGATTAGTAAATTAGGAACAGAAGGGAAACTCTTTAATTTTATAACCAAAAAAAAAAAAAAAACACAACTAGAACAAACATTATTCTGAATTAACTAACATTAGAAGCTTTCCCTTTAAAGTCAGAAACTGGCCTTTCAGCTGGTCTGCCTGAGACCTCTAGTGCCAACCCCAGTACCCCATAAACTTTCATTTCCACTCAAGAAGTTCCACCTTGGTTTTCATTATAAAACAAAAAACTTTCATCAACCAAGAAAACCTTGCCAAACTTCAAGCACAATTGCACATTGGTAACAAGGAACTGCCCTCAGATGATATAGCAAACATCTCTTACAATGGATGGTCAAAAAAAAATCTTTAGTTCTCCTTAAAGAAAGTAGGAATCAGCAATATCTCTGATATTAAAGATGTATGTTTGCAAACCAGGGAATGGTGATCTATATGAACAATTTCACTGTTCAGGCATGTCTAGCAGCAAACACTTTCACCATTATCAGCCATGCTGAGTCAAAGCACCTAACAGAAATGCCACCCAGTGTCTTAAAACAGCTTAATGTCAATAAGCTTAAGGAAACTGGCAGAAACTGGATGGAAAAGTACTACTTACTATTGGGGAAGGGGTGATCTTGTTCAGAATTTTGATGACGCTTTCAACAATGAGGCAAACTGAATTGATTCAACTTCTAAAAAATAATAAAATTTCAAGAATTTTAACTGCTTTTAAAATTTTTGTTTCATATATGATAAGATGTAAGATTATGATATTTTAAATTCCAAGGCCCTTGGACAGTGCTACTTTTAAATTATTAATTATACACAATTATTTATTTGCAATTATGTAGCCAAAAAAGCCAGAAAATAGTTTAAAACAAAGATAAATAAAGCTTTTGCCTAGTTAAAAAAGAAAGAAACCAGGAAAGGATGCTCACTAGCACCAGTTCTATTTCATATTTTCTTGAAAGGTCCGTAAGTACAGTATGACAAAAATAAATTATAAAAGCAAAATGTTTGGAAAGGAGGCAGTAAAACTTCTTATTTACAAATACGAGTTTTTGCATAAAAACCCCTCAAGACTGTGACTTATTAGAAATAATAGAGTTTACCAAGTACATGAAAATAAGATTAAGACACAAAACTCAGTTGCATTTCTGTATGCCTCAGCAAACATCTAGAAATGTAACTATGACATTATTTACAGTAGAGTCAGAGAATGCCACATTTATGTCTAGGAATAAATCTAACCAAAAAAATTCAAGACCTCTTCACAAAAGAATTATGAAGAGGATCTAAATAAGCAGGTATATTATGTCATGGATAAGAAGACAATATTGTGAAGATGTAGTTTCCACACATTTACTTGTCCATTTAATGGAATTCCAGTCAAAATTTCATCAGGGTTTTCCATGGAATTTAATAAGATGAATGGCCAAGACCGTCTTGAGTCTGAAAAGCAGGAATTGGGTCTGATTATTAATGTGTAGGAATTAAGATATTGTGTTGGTGGCATAGGAATAGACAGCATGGGCAATGGACTTTCAGAGAGCTCAGAAAGAGACCTATACTTGCATATTACTTTGATATATGACAGAGATACATCTTTCAGTATAGAAAGGAGAAATGATTCAATGAATGGGAGAAAGCTGGTTATACTAGGAATATTGTTTGAAATTGTGTTTCACTCTACATAGAAAAATCAAGTAAAAGGGGACATGTGTTCAGTAAACATAAAAATATATTAAAAATCATAACACGATATATCATTTATACCATTAAGTTGGTAAAAATTATAGTGTGAATCTACAGCATTTTTCTACACTGGTGGCAATGGATATTGGTATAAACACATAGGGGAAAAATGTTTATTATCTCTTAAAGTTCGACATTCACATATATCAAGCTGCAATAATTCTCTAGAGCAATTCTTATGTATGTTCAGCTGGAAACATGTTAATAAGCATGTAAACCTCCAAAGATGACATGCAGATAGCGTGATGCTTTTTTTTAAGTTTAAAATGACTAAATATATAATTTTAAAGAGTACATATAAATGCAGTAAAACTATGTACAAAATGAAAAGCAAGGAGTTTTTGAACCCAAGATTCAGGGTGAAGTGTGCCTTGGTTGGGGATACCAGAATGATGGGATGGGATGAAATGAGAGCAGGGGAATCAAGTAGGATTTTAATGTTGGTTTTAGGTGGCAAGTGCATAGCTATTATATTATTAAAACTATTAAATCAATAAAAGCAGTCCTTACATGAACCAGTGATATAAGCTTAAGAATTATGATTAGTATAATTCAGGCCTAGGTTAGTAGGTTTTTGTTTTTTGAGACAGAGTACTCAGGCTGTAGTGCAGTGGCGCAGTCT